GTGTCGAATCGAGCGGTGTCGAATCGTACTGTGGTCAATAGAGTATCACCCAGTTAACAATACCATTTCACGTGTCAATGATCTTTACATCGTCTGAAGATTTATAAACATTTGTTTACACCTGCACTCCGTACTAGATTTGTCACCATCTTACTCATTCCCTTCTTTGATTACTGTTGCACACTGCTTACAGACATCACCGGTAAAAATAATCTGCGCCTTCAGCAAGCGTTAAATACTTGTATAAAATTTATATTTCAAGTTAGATGGTATGAACACATCACGGCTTTTTATGAAAAACTATGTTGGCTTAAGATAACATCTAGGAGAGCCTACTTCATTGACTGTATGGTATACAAGATTATCAAAACTCGAAGACCAAAAGCTATTCGAGACTTTGGTTTTCAGACGTGATGATAGTTCACGTGTTACTAGAGCATTGCAGGAGGATTTAGTTCTTCCGTTGTGTCGCACAGAGATCTTTAGGCGCTCTTTTAGATGCATGTGCGTCGATATATGGAATGTGATACCGGTTAACATCCGCAAGAAGCCTTTTAATGTATTCAAGGAAAGCTTATTTGAGTCTTTAATGATCAATAATACTTAATCATTGTTTTTTTTGTTATTTTAATTTATTCTTGTTGTTAAACTAGTACTTCTTTATTCATGTATTTTCATTGTTTATTCTTTATTGCTGTTAATCTAGTTTACTTTTATTCATGTATTTTTATTTTTGTTTATATGTTTTATTATACACTTATATTTTTATTTTTATTTTTATTTCTTTTTTTCTATTATACACTCACACTTTTTTATATTGATTTGTATTTTACATTTTTCTTTGTATTGTAAGATTTTATTGAATTCCGTTTGAATGATGGTCAAAGTAATAATTTACTCACAACTTTTTAACACTTCACAGAACAATTTATTAAGCAAAATCTCGCCGCGTGTTTTGATCTCTCAAGGAGATGACCGGCTCAGCTGTTTGAAAGCGAATGAATTTCTCAGTGGCTGCTCGCGCTTGCTGCCTACAGCATCGGGCAATTCCGATCGACCCGATGTGTGTCGAATCATATTTACTTGTTATGTACACGCAAGTACAGCGTGACACACAAGTACGCACAAATCCCAGCGAGCTGTACAGAATATTCTCGAACATATCTTACAGGTCGACCATCCTGACTTTAACATTCGTCTCGAATGGCGGTGGGATATCGCAATGTTAACTTATACTTGACATAATACGCGCGACGGTACGGTTTATATCTTCTAAATCCTAAATATAATAACGCAACTTAATTTTATAATTTCTTATCTATATAATAGTTTTTTTTTTCTTTTTTCCAGTCTTTATATATATATTTTTTTTTTATACATGTATAACATACAAAAATTTCTTAACATAAATTTAACGCACGCTAGATATTTGTATTTACAACTGGTTTTACCCAAGGTTTAATGCGATTGGGTAACAAAATGCTATTATAAAGCATTGACGTAATATTAAATCCTGGAATATCCTGTATAACATAACGGTTATTTTGCAGTATCGTTGATATCATATAGTAGTTAGGCTTGAGCTTTCCACTTTAATTTTTTTATTTTGTGTATTCCTTACCAATACATAATTCCTAGTCTGATATTTCGATGGTTGTTTATGAGAACAATCATATACTATTTTGTTATACTGTCTAATTTTGTTAGATGTTTCTAGTGCTGTATCATGATTCTCTTGTCTCTCTTCTATTAATTCGTGAGATATATCGGCTAAAGACTTAATTAAATCAACCATCTCAGCATCTGACTGGTTTTTTAGCTCATAGCCCAAAAATAACTTCGCCGGTGACATTTTGATACTTGTGTATGTATTGTGTTATTAAAAACATATTGAACTTTATTCAGATGAGCCTTCCATTTATTCGGGACTTTAACTAACCTTCTTAATGAAGCTTTCAAAAATCTATTAACCCTTTCTACTAATCCGTTGGCCCACGGTGCTGCCATCGCTACCAAACGGTGTTTTATACGATGATATTCTACAAACGTGGCAAATTCTTTTGACGTGTAAACGGTACCTCGATCTGTAACTAATCTTTTAGGATTTTCGAAAATTTTAAATAATAATTCCAAACATTTTATTACTTCTTTTGTCTCTGTAGACTTGGATGGAAACAACCAGGTAAATCGTGTAAAAGCATCTACCAGTACTAGTACATGTTTATAGCCATCGCTAGTGTTCTGAAGCGGACCAAAATGATCAATATGCAATGTGGAGAAAGGTATCGTTTCCACATTTTCAATTTGCATTTCTTCCTCTCTCGAGTGTGTAGATAGATTAGCCGTCAGACACGTCAAACAATTTGAAATGTAGTCATATATTTTTTTTGCATAGACGGAAACCAATAATTTGTAAAAATCCCATGAAATGTTTTTTTGTCCCACAATGTGCCAGCTCATCATGATATGTTCTTATTACGCAGTTCACCATTTCCTTTGGTACGACAAAACGTAATCGGTCTGAAAATTTTTTATAGACAAAACCTTTGACAAGTTAAAATTTATCGTTATCTGCAAATTCCAAACTGTTCGCAATTGCTTTTAATTGAGGATCGCGGAGCTGTTTAAATTCTAATTCACACTCTAATGGTAGAGGTCGAATTACTCCGACCTGTCTAATTAACGCATCTACATGCGCCATCCGTCTATTTTCTCTATGTTTGAGATT